GCCGCAGCCGCCGCCGCCGCCGCCACCACCACCGCACCGCCACCGCCGCCATTACCACCATCGCCGTCGTTCTCGTACTGCCTGTCTTCTTGCCGACCCCGCCTAATCGCACCACCCCTGCTTTGATTAAAGAACAGAGAGCTTCAACTTCAACGCGAATCTCGTTCTCGTTTGTTTGTTCGTTCGTTCGTTCGTTCGTTCGTCCGTTCGTTCGTTCGTCCGCTCGCATGCTTGCTCGCTCCTTTTGTTTCGTTTCTTCCGTTCTCTCTACCTTCTACTTTCTTTATCCCCTATCCATCTTTCTTTCGACTTTTTCCGAATTTACGCTTCTCCCCTAGTCGTTTTCCAACATTCGCGTAGAACGTTGCGATTGTCGCGATCGAAAGTCTTAGTTTCGATCCAGCACGTGGCTCCCGCTTTTTTTCTTTTCTTCTCTCGCGTTTCGTCGCCTCTTCTCGTCCGGCGATCTGGCTCTGGTTCGTAGTTCTCTTTACGCGGTGTTTCCAAGGTTAAGATCGAGAAAGAGCGACGAGACGGATCGCGCGTTTCGATCCGGGTCGACGCACCGCGCCGAAACCGAATCGCGGAAACTGATCGTAGACGGCGGCGGTAGAGAATATCTCTATCCTTTCGAACGAGTCGCGAGAACTGGTAATTTTTCTTCGGAAATATGCGAATCGAGCCTGCTCGATCTTCCCTCGTTTTGCCGATTATTTTTCGAATACCGTTCACCGAGACGAACGCTTTCGTATTTTATCCCCGACCTGATCGGCGCGCGACTAGGTCGCGTTCGCGAATTATATTTACACCGAATCGCTGCGAATCCAACGAATATTTCGATAATCGTTAGTGCGGTATTTCAGCGACCTTCTAGGTAAATATTTCGTCGTTTCCTCGTTAATCGTTATCGATGTTCGAATAGCTGCGAGCAAAAGCGTTCGACAGAGTTTCCGAGCTTTCTCCGCGTAACGTATCTGTTCGAATAACGATCGTAAAAGCATATACGTCGGAGGCAAATGAACAGGAGCGTAACGAGAACGAGAACGTGAACGAGAAGGAGATAAACTGGATCGTTTATATCGTATCGTTGCAGTCGTTGTTGAAAACGGCCGATCAGCTGAAGATCAAGGGACTCTGCGAGGTGCCGGAAAGCAGAGACGGTCCACCCTCGGTTAGTCTGAGTTCGCCACCGAGGGAACCCGGAACTCCTAGAATAAATTTCACCAAACTGAAGCGACATCATCCGAGATACAAGAGAGCCAGAACCAGCTTCGAGCCTCGAGCAACGGACTCGAGACACTACGACAGGTACAAAGAAGAGGAATCGAACGAAAATTATAATCGAGAGAACAAAGAGGTAAGCGCGTTAAGTTTCTCACCCCCTTCACCTTCGACTCGTTTTTTACCGCGTTAACGCGTTTTGCAGAACCACAGAGATTGGCAAGCGGACGATGAAGAGTGCACGGAAGCAACCACCGCAGCAGTAGCCTTGGAAACTTGTCAGCGCAACAACAACAACAACAACATCAACATTGCTAACACCAGCAACATCAACAACAACAATAACAATAACAACAACAACAACAACAATAATAACGGTAGCAATAGCAGCAACGGTAACGCCACCAACAATAACAACGGTAAATCGTCGATTGCTTTGGGCTCCCCACGCCTATACACCCTTTTTAGCATTCGTTTCGGCTTTTCGTCTTTTTCTCGAGCCGCTTACCGAGCAAGAAAGGGGTCTA